GTATTGAGAGAATTGTATTTGATTAAATTTTACAATAAAGAATATATGGAATTGCGTTCTATAATTGGTGACCCCGCAAGAAACACAGAATGAGCGACGATGGTAATGACCGATTCGAAGACGCGGCTACTCCAGTTCATGTGGCACGGCTCGCCCTTAAGCCGCCACCGTTTTGGAAGCCAAATCCCCGGCTGTGGTTCGCGCAGGTTTAGGCGCAGTTTGTACGTGCAGGAATCTCCACCGACGAGACCAAGTACTACACTGTAGTGACAGAAATTGATTCAGCGGTGTTGGCACATGCTAGCGACATAATTACGTCACCGCCGGCTTCAGGGAAGTACGAGCTCCTGAAAGAGCGATTGATTACGGAGTTTGGGGAGTCAAAAGAGAAACGCTTGAAACGATTATTTGAAGGGTGCAGATTGGGAGACAAAAAAGCCACAACTTTGCTGCGAGAAATGAAAGACTTGGCTGATCAACACATTGACAAGGAAGTTTTGAAATCGCTTTGGTTACAACGTTTACCAACTAATATCCAGCAAATTTTAGCAACGTTCGATGGCAGCATCGAAGAATTGGCTTTGAAAGCTGACACTATAATGGAAATTTCTGCAACAAATGTTGATGTTAATGTGGTCAAGGTACCGGATGACGGCATGCAAGCTGCTATCTCCGACTTGACGAACAGGCTAGATCGCCTCACACGCAATAATCAACGCAACTTCGTCCGCAACGACCGGAGCTACAAGAATAACGTGTCTCATCCGCAACGACCTGTTAGTTCTCGGCAGGGCTCATCTACACCGAAACAGGACACTCTTTGTTGGTATCACCGTACGTTTGGCGACAGCGCAACCAGGTGCCGCTCGCCTTGTACTTATCGTCAACAATGCGCGGAAAACTAGTTAGCCCTCCGTTTAAAGCGGCCACAACGGAGGCTAACACCAGCTCGTGCCGCCCTTACGTGCGAGACAAAAGTACATCATTAAGATTTTTAATCGACACCGGCGTCGAAGTGTCTGTAATGCCCAAGCACAGTGGCGACGATACGCAGATTACTACTACGAAGTTAGTAGCTGCTAACAATACTTTTATCAACACCTATGGTAAGAAACGCATCACTTTAGACTTAGGTTTACAGCAAACATTCTCTTGGGTTTTTATTATTGCTGACGTAGCATATCCGATATTGGGTGCCGATTTTTTACAATATTACAATATATTGGTAGACGTAAAAAGCAAGGCAATCATACACCGTACAACGAATTCGCAGACCATCTGTCAGATAATGAAACTAACACGCAGCATTATCTCATTAAGAGAGACCGATGCATTTCAACGCATTTTAGCACGTTTTCCTGACCTCACCAGTGATGCGGCTCAGCCCAAGAAAACCCAAACGGCAGTACAACACTATAT